GGTTCACCAGCAGGGGAAAATTGCAGGGGCCCTGGGACACACGTATAAATACACACAAATAACAGGAGCCCCCATATTTTCATATATTTTCTGGGTTTCTGTCTTACACCCCACTTTCCATATTTTCGCACATCTCCCTGGGAGTCGACGCTTAATTGTGTCTGCGCTTCTTCCCCTCCTGAAGAATGGAGGTTCGCGAAATGTCGCGGGTCGAGCGAGGTGCAGACAACGACGAGCTGTGGTCCAACGGTTCCACATTGTGCTGAAAAGCGCCGATTGTACCCTCGGGGTCACCAGCGCGTGAAGTTGTCGAAGATGATGAAGACCTGCCTGGCCGTGCCAATTCCCCCGCGCGCAGCCGGACTGGAAATATGTTAGCGATGTGGGCGCGGTCGGGAAGGTTGAGGCCCCAGCGTCTGCATTTGTGCCTGACGCGGAGCTCGGCTGGCGGCGCGTGCGCCTGCAATAGTCGAGCGGTCACAGCGGCTTGGAAACGGCGCGAATGTGGCCCCAATCCTTCTCCGTGTATGGGGCGGGGCGCGTCGCTGCCACGGAGCGGCACAACTCGGCGGGCGCCCCCAAAGTCGCCTTCATGTTCGAAAAGTTGGTGGCCAATCGGCGGTGGTAGGAGGGCTGAAACCATCGATCTCAAATAGCTCGCTCCTGCGGGCGGTCGGAAGTCCCCAGTAGTGATCTGAGGAACCGGGTGCGTCGGTCGAAAGTGCAGCTGAAATTGGCGGTGTAGGGGGCGTGGGGCGACGGGTCGGCAAGGGTAGGGGGGGCGCGCGCGGCCGCGGGAGAGGTGGAAGTCCAGAGGGGTGCCTGGGTCAGCCGGGCGGTCGCCGCAGGCCGTGCCCCACAGTCGCACTCGTGATTGCGCTGCTTGAGCGGCAAACCGAAGACGTCGGAAAGCGCCAGGGAAATTGTAGGAATGCTGAAGCCACCAGAGGACCACCCGAGTTGCCCAATTCCCTGGGCCAGGGGCGGCCCGTCGCTTACATTGTAACTCCACGTTGAAGACGTCCTCCGGCGGCTCGCTGAATTGCGCCACAAAGCTCAAGACCGACATCGCAAACGTGTTGTAAGCTAGTGCTGAGCAGTGCAGTCCAAGCGGGTGGTTCGCCCACAGCGAAGCACGCTGCCGAAATTTCGCCTCTGGGTCCTTCCAGAGCAAATTCCAGAGCAATTCCTCTGGTCCCACACAAAAGCCCGAATATTCCCCTGCAAACGCCAATTGGGTGGTTGACCAACCCGGGATCAGCGCGTCGAGGTGCGACCGCACCGTCGGAGCGGGAACGCGAATAGAGGTATAACGACCGTCTTCTGCAAATTGAGCCGTAATCCAGATATTGCTGCGAGCTCGTCGAACAGGGCCGCCAGTCGGGGCGCGTCCTCCCAGAGGCTTGTCGAAAGAACGGCGGTGTCATCCACATACGCACGAACCAGGATGCCTCGGCAAGTCGCTTGAATCTTGTCCAACAACAGCTCCGCGCAGATGGCGTACAGTAGAAGGGACAAGGGACATCCCTGCCGGACGCCTGCTGTCAAGAGAAATCCTGGCAGTGTCTCTCCTTGACTCACAATCTGGCACCTGCCATTGTCGTACAAGTGCTTCACACAACCTCCGGGCCGACGCTGGTAGGTCCAGATGACGCAGCATGTCGTGCAGGTACTCCTGCGAGGGCGACGGGAACGCGGACGCAAAGTCGAAGAGGATGATGGCGCCAGACTCTCTTTGCAGCGCTGTGGCCATGCTGGCAAAATCGACGTCGAGAACGTCTTCAATAGAGATCGGTGCCGTAAGAAGCCTTGTAGCGGAAGGTCGACCCATGCATTGATAATAGGTTCCCAGCGCCTCTGGGCAGCGTTCGAGATGATCCTATTGTCTGTATTCACGATGGATAACGGGCGCGTGCTGTCAGCCGTGTAAACGTCACCGTGGGTTGGGTCACGCATCAGTTTCTTCTTCCCCAAACAGACGAGGGTTCCCACATTGAAGTCATGGCCAGCGGGGTCGGCATCGCTCAGTTCGTGGAGGAATGTCTCCCCGGAGGTGCTCTGGAGAGCGTCGGCGGCTTCCCAAAAGGCTCTGATGGCGAGCTGGCCGCTTCGCCGCCAAGCGACGTACGAGATCCCGTCGGGGCCTGGCATGCTGTTGCCCGAGTGTTTTATCGCGGACTCCACGTCTTCCTCTCTTAATGCCCACTTGTCTGGGGATGCGTCAAGGGGTGGACGGGCGTAGTGGCGACGTGGGCGGCCGGGGCGTGGTCGTGGTCGTGGGTCGGTGGGTTGCAGGCTTGCAGTGGCAGAGCGGGTCTGGGCGGCGTCTCCCGTCGGCGTTTGGGCGGGGGTCGGCAGGAAGGCTGGGAGGGACGCAATCCAGCGCTGTAAAATGTGAGAGTTGGCCGGTTGTCGCGTGAATATTCGGCTCCAATGTTTCCCAAGCTCCTGCGCGATGTCGTGGGGCGTGCGTGCTAGATTACCGTCTGGGGTTTGGATTGCTCCGATGGCGGTGTTGCATCCTGGCTGCAGGCAGCGGAGCTTCGTGAGGATGTGGGATTTCTGCTGCTCGTAATCCCCAGAGTTGATATCGGCCTCCTGTCGTTGTAAGGCTACAAGGTCTGTCGTGACGGCGTTGTGGGCAAGGTCCATCGCATGCTGTCGGACTGCTTGTAGCCGTGGCGAGAGACGAGCATTCGGGTCGGCGCCGGGGGATATTGTAACGAGGTGGGGGTAAGCATTCAAGCACCGCTGTTTCGCTGGTACGGCTATACGTTCCGCTGCTCGTGTGTACGCCATTGTCCAGCCCAGGTGATCGTGCGGGTCGTCGGAGGGGGCGTCGAGTCCTTCTTGGTGCATCTTCGCACTGTCACCATCAACGGTCAGGAGCCTCCGAGGGTCCCATCAGCACAGGCCCCCAGTACGCTCCGCATCCCCACCGTTGCACATTCGCACAGACTGACGCAAATAGCTTCCAAACCCACAGGCAAGCACGCGGAGGGCTCTGGCACTGGATCGGCAGATGGCCAGGCTGGGAAATACAGCCCAACGAGGAGGTAGAGCCTCATCCTCGGTCACGCAATTCGCTCGCTCACAGGTTCCCTCGCTCGTTCATCCACGCAACATGCAGAGGCGTTTGACCACAACACTGCAGAAGATTCTTAGCACCCCTTGCGGTCATGAGACCGTAAGACTGCCATCCATCCAGAGTGGCCTGGTGCCCTGCTAGTATGAAGGACCCGGACCAGGGCGGGGGCGAGTCGACAGGGCGGCGGCCAGGAGTCACGGGATATCGGACGACGGAAACACCATGGAGCCTCCCCTCCTTCCCTCCCCGCCCCCTCCCTCCTCCGCCTCCTCCCTCCCCCCATACCAATCGGTCGTAAGAAGTAGGTAGAAACATGAAGTAGGAAGGCGTTGAAAATAGACTCGGTGTCCGCCCGCCCCCCAAGGAGGACGGAAAAGGTGAAGCCACTCGATCATTGAAGAAGGAAGGCGCTCAAAGTAGATCGGAATCTGGGAATCCAAAAATACCCTATCTCAACGACCGATGGGTACCCCTGCCCCCGCAGCCCCGTAAAGCACCCCGCTTTGAGATGCGTGGCCACTGGGGCGGGGCGGGGCGGACGGTGGCCCCCCGGCAGCGACCCGCAGGGGGCGTGCGCCCGTCCCGAGGGCTTCTCTCTCGGAACCCGGGTGGAGGGCCACAGGCCACCTGCAGGCCTGCGACAGGACGCATCCCCCCAGAGGGAGCGACGGGGAACGGGCGCACCCTACCCACAGGGGGGCGGGAGGAGGAGGAGGAGGAGGAGGAGGAGGAGGCGGAGACGGAGGCGGAGGCGGAGGGAGGAGGAGGTGGAGGAGGAGGAGGAGGAGGAGGAGGAGGAGGAGGAGGAGGAAAAGGAGGAGGAGGAGGAAAAGGAGGAGAAGGAGGAATGAGGAGGAGAATGAGGAGGAGGAGGAGGAGGAGGAGGAGGAGGAGGAGGAGGAGGAGGAGGAGGAGGAGGAGGAGGAGGAGGGGAGGAGGAGGAGGAGGAGGAGGAGGAGGAGGAGGAGGAGAGGGGAGGAGGAGGAGGAGGAGGAGGAGGAGGAGAGGAGGAGGGAGGAGGAGGAGGAGGAGGAGGAGGAGGAGGAGGAGAGGAGGCGGAGGAGGAGAGGAGGAGGAGGCAGAGGAGGGGAGGAGGAGGAGGAGGAGGAGAAGGAGGAAAGCGCGCCTCCACGGGGGGGGTCGGATCCCGACCCCGCGCGGAGCAGGCCGCGGCAACGCGCGGCGGGCCCACCGTGGGCCGCGGCCTCCGCGAAGGCCGACGTGGTGGCCTACCCCCTCGCCACGCAGGGGGACTGCCCGCGCAGCCCAGGGCATGCAAATCCAGGCCACTGGCGCCCACGGGAGGAGGAGGAGGAGGAGGAGGAGGAGGAGGAGGAGGAGGAGGAGGAGGAGGAGAAGCAATGACGACGACGACGACGACGACGACGACGACGACGACGACGACGACGACGACGACGACGACGACGACGACGACGGCCAGGCAGGCAAGCAAGCAAGAAGCCGTGCGCGTCAGAGGTGCGTTGGCAACAGGGTGAAGCGGAGATGATTGGGCGAAACAACGGGCGTGCGAAACACGGCAACGGACGGAGGAGGAGGACGAGGAGGAAGAGGGGGAGGTCAGACGAGGTGGAACCCGGTCAGCGTGCCCCAAATCCTGGCGAACTGGTGCTGGGCGCGCTCCAGGGACTCTGGCCTCGTGATTCGATGCGAGCTCCCCACGGCCTCTGACGCCAGAGGGGGGGGGGGGGACAGTGGAGGCCCGACCACAAGAAACCTTCCACAAAAAACCCAATCCTGAGACCCCAGGACGTCCACTGATATTTGGTGTGCGAACGTCGCGCCTTCCCTCAGCAAAACCATCGAAACCCAAGAAACCCAGGGCACCCTGGAGGCAAGCAGGGTGTCTGTTGGCATGGACCCCCACTGCAGGAAGCAATGCGGAGGAGGAGGGTCAAGGTCAGGCCCAGCGCCCTCGAGCTGCCAACGGCCTCGGCTCGCGAGCTTTTTCGCCGGGCGCGCCAAGCGGGCGTGCCAGAGCCTCTCAGCGGGCCCTGGCAACGACAAGGCCGTTTTTGTCACCGGTTTCGTTTTTCCCGATTCTTCCCAAAGAATGCTCGCACTCAAGGGTTTCTTCGAGGCTTTGGAGGTAGCTGAGCTCCAGTGGCCCTCAAGCGGCCTCCAAACTGCCTCCAAGAGACCCCTGAGATGCCCCCACGAGATCCCAACGAACATCCACGTGGCTTCAGACCTACAACCCAAGCACGGTGGCGGGATGAGCCGAAGGCCATCAGATCCGCCGCCCCCTGTCGATTCATCGCAGGGGTGCCTGGCGTGCTAGATGAATTCGGTTTTGGTTTTGGTTCTTTTCCAGAAGAACTCGCCCTGGGGCTCCAGCGCGTCCCGCTGGCGTCCCAGGAAGGATCTCAAAACGCATCCGTCGATGCCTTTGTTGCCCCAAGTTGGCTCAAGATGGTCTCCAAGACGGCCAAGATGGCCCAGGATGGCCTTCAAGTTCGCCAAAGATGGTCCACGATGGCCTCCAAGACGGCCCAAGAGGGTCCAAGATGCCTTCTAAATCGTCCAAGAAGCCTCAAAGCGGGCCAAGATGGCTCCAAGATGGCGTCAAGCTAACCCAAGAGGGTGCCAAGAGGTCCCCCAGGAGAGCCCGAAGAGGCCAAAATCATTGATGTCCCATTGGTTTCTTTTAATGGTTTTGACATATGCTTCTTTTAAGCCTTCCCGCTGTCCAAGACGGCCCAAGAAGCCCCCAAGATCGCCCCCAGAGCACCCACGAGGCCTCCAAGATGACCCCATGACGGCCCAACAAGAGGCCCCCAAGACGGCCCCAAGAGGGCCCCAAGACGGGCCAAGAGGCCTCCAAGACGCCCAAGATGGCCTCCAAGCCGGCCCCGAAGCGCCCCAAGAGGGCCCCAAGCCGGTTCAGAGAGGCCCCCAAGACGGCTCCCGACGGCGTCAGACGGGCCAGGAGCCCACCAAGATGGCCGAAGTTGGCTCGAAGCTGGCCCAAGACGGCCCAAGAGGCCTCCAAGAGGGCCTCCAGGAAGGCCAGAAAAGGTAAAAAAAAAAACACTGATGTTCCTAAGGTTGTTGAAGGATTTGGACGTCCCGAGATCTTTTCAAGGCGGGGACTCCGATGAACGAACGGCTGCGCGTCTTGGCGCTCAGCTGTGAGGCACCATCAACTCAAAGAGAAAAATGAGACTGAGCATGTGTCACGCATGCTAGAGAGGGTTCGGGGGGGCGGGGGACCAGAGAAGCTAAGTGAAGCAAGTGAGAGAGCCAAAGGGGCGACATAATGAAAACCCCTCTTGACTTCCTTCACGTGCAAGCACAAACCAGGACGTCCCGAGATCTTTTCAAGGCGGGGACTCCGATGAACGAACGGCTGCGCGTCTTGGCGCTCAGCTGTGAGGCACCATCAACCCAAGCCGTTCCCAAGAATGTTTACTGGGTGGGCGGGCAAGGGCGATTATATAAAGACGCGCGCCATTCACTCAAGAGGACTTTGGCAAGCTTCCTATTGAGGGCAGGCGGATAGGCAGCAGCGATAGCGGTCCATTTCGCACCATTCGGGGCGTTGCCCTCAAGCACAATGTGTTGACGGCCAGACTTGTTACAGATTCCGTTGATCTGGGCACACCGTCGATCGAGACAGCTACTATCCTGGATATCTATGTTCAGACACAAAAATCGCGTCCGCTTGCGCCAACGAGCACCCTCCTGACACTGGTCGAGACATCTTACGTTGGCCCCCCGATCTATAAACCCCTGAACCTCTCTCGCGACAAACACGCGTGAATTCACAGGATGTTCGAGTATGCAAGGAACTCTGAATTTCTCACAACATCTGATGATAGACAGCGCAGCACGCATGGTCTTATTGCCAAGCGCCAGGCGAGCAAGCTGCTTCGTATTCAAAAGATGTGGCGGGAGTCCCCAGGGCTGCGATGCCGAGCGGATGGCCCCCACACGGTCCGCAGCAGTGGTCCAGGGCCCACAGGGCGGTGCCAGCATCACAGCTAAGACACGGCCAGCGGCAATGTCCGAGCACAGCCCACGCAGGACCTTCCGTCGGAGCAGGTCGCCGCCTGGCCCGTGCAGCGTGTCCCAGAATCTGGCTGGCACGCCCATCACCATTGCAGCACGCCCCACGCCTCCTTTGCCACTGAAGCAGTCGGCTAGGCACTGGCCCGTTAGGCGTGGTCGAGCTCCCGCAAGTCGACCGGCGAGGCGCGCCCCAAAATGATGTCCGCGAGCTGAGCCTCGCAGACCAGGAACACGTTTTGCCGCGCGCTGCTCAGTGTCGCCCACGTGGCTGCCAGGCGTGCATGCTTCTCGTAGCGGACCACGCTGCGGTTGGTCTTCCACTGCCCGCGCTTCTGCACGTCGGCCAGCCGTCTCCACCTTCTCGCCATGTCTATCGAGGCCCCCGAGTGGCGCATCTGGTACGGCACCACCTTGGCCTTCACCTGCAGGTCTTGAAGGCACAGGCTGAACATCTTGCAGTACTCTGGGTACGTGAAGTTCCACAGGCACTCGGGGTGGCCCTCTTTCTTCATCTGGCGCAGCACAGGGTCCAAGAAGCGAATCCAGGGCGAGTCTAACTCTAGCGACACGTCCCCCAGGCCCGTCTTGTCCCTCAGGTCCTCCTCCTCTGGAAAGAGCCTCAAGGTCCAGAACTCGCACACTCCCGGCGCTGGCGGCACCAGGCAGGCCGGCTTCAGGAGCAAAAGGCTGCTGGGGCGGGCATACACGCTGACTGCTATCAACGTGAACACCGCCATCTGAAGACTGCCACGGGCCTTCATGCGCCACGCCATGGCGCACCACAGCGCCAGCGCCCACGGCTTCCTCGTCCGCGGCGGCTCCAGGCGCCGCCAGGCCCGGAGGCACCTCCAGCCCCGGGGGAGGCGCCGAGCACCGTAGCGCGAGAAGTCGGGGTTGAAGTGCAAGACCCCCGCCATCAGCTTCTCGGCCCAGGAGAGGTGAGTCCCAGCATGGTACAGGCCGTTCAGGTAGCTCACCAACGCCGAGTCTACCTCGGAATCGTCTCTGCTCTTCATGACCTCGTCGATGTCGACCGAGGGCCAGCTCCGACGGGCAAAGTCCCGCCATCCGTCCCAGGCCCTCTGGTACTCGCGCTGCGTCGGGGTCCGCACGGCCTCCCGCTCCAGGAGAGAGAAACCCTCTTCGCCGGCAGGCATCCCGTAGTGGCGAGCACGGCGCTTCTGCGACTGCGCGAGCCTGCGCAGCCGCGCGGCGCCGGTCACGACCTCGGGCTCGGAGCTCCCGCTGTCGGAGGAGCCGACGCTCTCTCGCGCTCCCCGAGCGGGCTCCGCAGGCACAAGCACCTTCGTCAGGTCCTCCACCACTTGCCCCAGGCTCCGCGGCAGGGGTCGGCTCAACACAGCCGTCTTCAAGAGCCCCGACTCGCCCAGCTGACGCTCCCGCCGAGCTGCCGGCAGCGGCAGCGGCGCTATCGGCGGCGCAGGGACCAGCTGCCGCGTGCGCCTCACCCCCTGGCCGCGGGCCGGCGGCTGCAGGCCAGGCTCCGGGCGAGACGGCGCCAGCAGCCTCGTGCGCCGGCGGCTCGCCCCAGGCCGCGCACCTCGCCGGGCCTGCTGGGGGCTCCGAGAGCGCTCCCGCCCATCTGGCGCTCGAGGGCGCCCAGGCCGCATCGCGGGCCGCGACGCCATCGGCCGCCCGCTCGGGCTCGGCCCAGGCGGAGACCCGTCCTGGGCTCGCCTGGGAGCCCTCGAGCTCCAACAGCTCAGCCAGAAGAGTAGACTTTGCGCCGCCAGGATCGAACAGCCGCGAGGGAAGATCGGCACAGTTGAGCTCACTGGGTATCCAACGAATCGAACAACGAATGTTTCGGCTCAAACAGACAGCGTGAAATCGACGAATCTGGACCAACAAATTCAAACACGAGCTCCTTCCCCGATTGAAGCTTAGCACGACCGACATATTGTCACAGAGCAGCAATTGACGTATATGGGACCCAAAGACCGTAGTGGCGATACGATGAATGCTGCTGACCAGGGCTCGGGCCTCCAAGGTCAAGATGCCCTCAGGGTGCTGCCAGGCTCTCGCGAAACAGGGCTCCCAAAGGCCTGCGCGGAGCCCCTGGGCGGGCACCTCCGGGAAGTCCCTCACGACGTCCCACTGGCCCAGCTCCTCCTCGTCCTCGGGAAGGCCCTTGAGTTCCCATTTTCCATTCTCACTCATGCTGAAACCAGCTGCACAGAGCGCCGCCTCTCGAGCACTGTGGGCGCAGCGCCGGCGGAAGCGGGCTCGCTCAGGCACGCGTCCGACTGACTCCACCAGCTCCTGCGGCCAAAAGGCTCTTGCCAGCCCGTAGCCGTGAAGACTGGCGTCAGACTGCTGCGCCATCGGATTCCAAGGCAGCCACCAATCTGACTCCAAAAAGTACATCAGGGAGCTGAAGGCGGCCAGCTCTCGCCGAGCTTCGGCCCATAGCACGGCCGCCTCGTCGTAGTGGGCTCGCACAAAGCCGTACACTGAATTGAAAGCTGACAAGGTGCCGCGCGAGCAGAGGCCACAAAAGGTTAGATGGCCCAGCACCGCCTCCACGGCCCACCCCTTGACACGGCGGCGGGCTAGGAGGCCTCGCACGGCCTGGCGGCAACGCCAGAAGCGATCACTGGTCACACGAGTGCGCAACCGACTGCCGTCGATCTCCGTGCCAAGCGCCACTGCCATGCCCGGCACCAGCTCGTCCTTGTGCAACAGTAGGTTCAGCTCGGTGAACTCGCCCGTCAGCTGGTTCATCACGCCGCTCACAAGCTCAGAGAACAGCGAAAAGACCCCCAAGTTGTCCACGTACACATAGTGCCTGACCTCCTTGGGCGCCCCGCCGGGCGCGAACACGAGCGGCGGCCCATCTGACAAGCTGGGCCCCGAGAGGAGCGCGCTGCTGCGGCGGCTTACCTCCTCGTTTGCCCGCTGGGCGAAATAGAGAGACCAGCTGAAACCCATGGGCAGAACCTGCCAGCAAGGATAGATGGCCGTCGACGTCCGTACCTTGGTCCCCTCGACCTCGGTCACGCCGAAGGCCCCAGCCTTGACCGG